CCTTTCCCCGGGGAGGTTTCGTCAGGCCGAGAAGCGAGGCGGAAAATCTGCCCTGTGGTCAGGGTGGATGGAGAAGGGTCTGTGTCCAGACGGGCACTTACTGCTGGTGAGTTGCCCGAATTGTCCTGGGCACGGAAAACCCCTGAGCTGACACCACAGCTGACGTTTTGTTGGTGCTTTTTAAAGGTGACATCGTAACAGGACGCAGTGAGAAAACCTGATGGCCGAGCATGTTACTTTTGGAGAAACACGTGGCCTATATAGCTTTGTATGGGACAAGGAAAGGCAACTATGTAAGTATTGGCCTATTTCAGTGCCGCTGTGCTTTTATTAAGAGTAACAACCCTCACTCCCTTGTTGAGAGTTAGGGGTTATTTTTTTTTCTGAGAATTATACCGGTCTGTTCAGCAGTTATTTATTTGGTGTGTACTTTTCCCCTGAGAAAATGGACTTGGTCTCAGCCTTATTTGTTCACCGTAGCTATCTCCATTGTAGATTAAATGTCTTGCCATCTCTCCTGTCTTTCATTTTCCTTCTCATGCCAACCGTGGTGATAAAACAGTACCAAAAAGGCTCCAATGCTTCCAACCAGTGGCTTGATTGCTTGTGTCATGTGTCTCTAGTCCCATCTCAAGGGAGAAGTTTATCAATGGTGTTACAAATAAATAAGGTAGTGTCCTGTTTTAGGAAGAAAGTGTGTTGCATTTTAAACCCTTGGGTAGGACAGAAGGAGGCTGCCTTCTTGGGTCAGTGATGAGTGTTGGCATGTATTATCTGATCTAAAGTTGATGCCTATCACCACTTTAGCTCTAGAATTACTCTGAGACCCAGGAAGCTCCAGTTCCTTTTGGCTGCAACCGTGGAGCTTTTCCAAACTGTGGAATCAAATTCCTGTCACAAATTCTAACCCAGTGTAAGGAGAAGGGGGCACAGTTTGAGTTTTCTTCCATTTACGTGAGAGAGAGTTATAGTTCTTGGGTTGATACCGGCTGTTACTAGGAGATGCTTTCACGTTAACTGAACGCAGCTCTGGATACCCAAAGCTGAACAGTGTTAGCAAATGCCGATGTAGAGATCTGGTGGCAAACTTAACCTGCCTGTCTCAAGGAGCATGCATGTTCTTGATTCACAAACACTGTTTAGTCCCACCTGTGCATCCAGAATGCTTGAAGGGTCAGGTCACATCTTCCTTTGATTGCAATGAGCAGTCAGGTGTTCAGATTTGCTTTTTAGGGAGCATGCTATGGTTATATCTTTTCTCTTGGGGTTTGTTATATTATTTCTGAAATGCAATAAAAGCTCAACTGAAGGAATGTGATATCCAATGTAGCAGAGTGTGTTTTCATGAAGAAAAGACTTACATCAGTTTGACCCCCAGATTACATTGTTTTAAAATTTGTGGCCAGGTTCAACTTCAAATGTTGACTTGGGGTATTAATTGCTCAATGTTTGTGTTGGGAGAGGTCTGTTGGTGTGGATATGCCCAGCAGTCATTCATCTGCAGGTGTGGCTTGTTTTGGTTTAGCTTCTGGGTGTCAGTCTGCAAAAGAAAATTTGTAACTCTAGTCAGTCTTGCTCTAAAACCAAGAATAGTTTCTACTTCTGCCCAGGTAGCTGAGAGAGCCAGGAACATTTCAGGCAGGCCAAGAGTTGTGCCCCGGTATTTCTGAGAGTCCGCAGCTCTGTAGTTATCCAGTAGGGCACTACAGATAAAGTTTAAGCTGACGTAGCTCTTTGCAAGTTACACTATTTGAGTTTATTTGGATATATACACCAGCTGAAAAGGAGTTGTTTTCTTTTATGTGCAGTAAACAGATCACTGGAGTTGTAATGTGCACTTGTCAATTACTGAGGAAATTATCAGTGAGATGGAAAAGGAAGCAGTACAGGGGCACTTTTTAGTTAGGTTATTTTCTGTTCAATGTAAAACCTGGGTTTTTAGCATTTTGTTCCATATTTTCAATGGTGATTTGAATTTTTTGTTGTTGTTTAAAAAAAATACTATTTATTTCATCCCCTACCCCCCTACATTCTAGGAGAAACAGCTACAAGGTTCTCCCTCAGCGCTGCAGCAATCTTGGCACTTCTGGTAAGGCCTATATCATCGCTTGTACAAGTACAGATTCTTCTCATTAGCACTACTGAAGCTTCTGCAGTAGTGAGCTTGGTTAGGATATACAGTGCATTAGTTGCTATTCTGCCTTGCAGGGAAAACTGGAAGCTCTTGATGTGGGGAAAGCAATAGATTTGTTTTTTTCCTGTATGAGCTCAGATGGAGGATTTGGTTCTGAATCACATGCAGGACGGGTGAGTTTTTCTTTATGTGGAGATATTTTAAATTAGCCAGCATCACATACTGCCTATAAAAGTTTCTTTCCGACACCTGTGTCACCTGACACTACCTGCTGCTATGGGGACAGCCGGGCTCTTGATGTTAAGGCTCCTTGGTAGAATGAGAACTGGCCACAGGGTTGTAGTTATACTTAGAGCTTTATTATTCTAGAAAGACTTCAGGAATCAGGGTGGCTTACTGCTACACGGAATTTTCTAGCAACGAGCATAGCTTTCCTATTAACCTAAATTTTCAGTTCCTTAGACTTTTCAGTCACCTAGACCCTCTGCAGATCTGACCAAATGCTTAATAATTAGTGCATGATACAATAATAATAATCTAGACTGACTTTCAAAAGTCCACACATGCCTCGCTCAGTCTTCCTTGGAGGAAGAACAGCGGAGGCGGTGTCACTGTGCTTTAGCTGATGGTGAGGGTGTTCCCCCTTACCACTCCGTCATGGTGCAGGCGTTCCCGGTATCACACCAGGGTGTACTGGTCACAAATCCATCGGTGATGCCCAGTGATGTACCTTCCTTGTTTGCCAAATGCCTGTCCCTTAGTTAAAGTAAACAAATAGGCAGGCAGTTCTGAAAGCCAGGTAGAGACTTGAAAGGTTATAAGGGGGGGGGGGGGGGGGGGGAGGGAACAAAACCCAACCCAACCAGGTATTAAGTAATCCAAATTAGGCAGCCTTCCTTCTTCCCACCCTAGAAAAGTCTGGAAAGTCCCTGTTATTTGGGAAGCTGGCAAACCACTTCTCTGTTAGAGGCGAAGAGGAGGCACTGCTGGACTTAAAGCACTTCCCTGTCTCTAGAATTTTTCTGCTTGCTTTTCAAAAGTCATGACATAGCCAATCAGATGGCCAATTTTCATGCCAAAGAAGGCCTTCCCCTTCTTAGCAAGTCAATTTAAAAGTATACGTCTGTACCTTGGTTTTCCTTCCAGATAGCCTATTTATAGCTACCCATCTAATTTTCATTACTAGAGGCGTACTTGATCTTGTGTCCCTTTTTGAAGTTTGTACGCCCCTGTCTTACAGGTTAGTAGTGAAATTGGTTATCCCTCTGGCTACAGATCCATCTTGGTACTTCATGAGAAGTTGGTCAGAGTAGGTGGAGTCCTTTGTGTTAAACTGACAACGGGTGAGTAGCGGGGGAGTCATGGCAGTGTATGCTCAGCTTGCATGCTCAGGCTTGTACTTGATGTTACATTGATAGATTTGCTATTTAGCTCCAGTAATAGGGTTTTGGAGAGGTCTGGTAACAAAAACCAGCTGAGAAGTTCAGCAGGAGACTGAAAGGTAGAGATTAATTTGAGAAAATAGAATGAGACTTTTCTGTTATCACAAGTACAAAATAGTAGACTAGCAGTGTAGTAAGATAAGTGAATATTACAAATCTATTATGTGACTAAAATGACCATTTTGGGAATAGTATTGATGTAATTCTCCTGTTGTATCTTCATATGATTGATGAATGAGCGAGTTACGTTATTTCATTGTAACTTGTCCTCACAACAGCCAAAAAAACTGCTGTCGTTTGGCTGCTTATGATGGAGAATTCTGTTGTGTGAAATGAGTATTTGTGTCTAATTACAGACTTTACTTTTTAGTGGCCTTTGTACCCTTTTGGCTGAAAAGGGTACCTAAGCACAGCAGTTGTAGATCACAAGTCATTGTATGTAGGTAGTGCGATGTAATCCTTCAAAATTAATTTGATCTGAGATCATGAAATAAAAATTAAGTAATTATTGAATGTATTACACATCCTCTCGTTGATAAAAATAAAAAAAAAATTGCAGAATTCCATACGTGGGGTTGGACTAGATGATCTCAAGAAGTCCCTTCCAACCTAAATGATTCTGTGGGTCTGTTCAATTATGAAAATCAGGGAACAACTTGTAGGACTGTGTTTCAGCTTGCAAATACAGTAGGAACTTTCTTCAAACAGTGGTGTCAGAATAGATAGCATAAGGGTTTTGAGAGAATTTGAAGTGGTTATTAATGAAGGCATTGGAGCGTCATGCCGCGGGGCAGGGTAGGAGGCAGTGCCTGGCAGGACCCTGCTGTAGTGGCCCTGGGTGGCTGCCTGCCCCTGGGGAGGCGTCGGGGTCTGCGTCGGGCCCCCTCAGCGGGGTCTGGGTCTTCTGCTGGTCAGGGTGGCCAGTGGTGGTTCACCTCAGCCTTGTCGAGAGGTTTTGTCAGGCCGGGAAGCAAGTCATGGTGGATGGAGAAAGGTCTGTGTCCAAACGGGCACTTACTGCTGGTGAGTTGCTCAAATTACCCTCAGGCACGGCAAACACCTGAGCTGACACCACAGCTGACGTTTTGTTGGTGCTTTTTAAAGGTGACACCGTAACAGGACGCAGTGAGAAAACCTGATGGCCGAGCATGTTACTTTTGGAGAAACACGTGGCCTATATAGCTTTGTATGGGACAAGGAAAGGCAACTATGTAAGTATTGGCCTATTTCAGTGCCGCTGTGCTTTTATTAAGAGTAACAACCCTCACTCCCTTGATGAGAGTTAGGGGTTGGGTGCGTGCTCCCCAGCTGCTCCTCTCTTGCCCTGCTGTCCCCCGTGAGGTACAAAGGGGGCTGCTTTGTTAGTTCCCCTGGGTCTGTGATGGGGGTTGGCATGTATTATCTGAGCATAAATCTGAAGATGATCAGTTTTGCTCTAGAATTACTCTGAGACCTGGGAAGCGACCTTCTTGTTGCTCCTTTATCTGCAGGGAGATTGTAGCTGTATTTCCACGTGGCTCCCTTGATAGGATGCTGTACTGAATCTGGCCACAGCACTGCTGCTTGCTTGCTTGGCTTGATAAATGCTGCAGCTAGCATTGGTTTTATAGGTGTGGGTTACCAGATGTAGCCCACAACAACTGGATTCTGGTTCCAGGAGGTGGGAAACGTCAATAACCGCTTGTGTCTGGAGGGGGGAAAAAAAGTTGCATTATTTTTAGTGTCCCCAAAAGAACTGGAGGCACTATTGCTCATGATTGTTGTTGCTGTGCTGAAAACATGTGGGTTAAAGTACTGCATCAAGAAAATGATGTTTACGGGTAGTGTAGGTAAACAATGGGGGGGGGGGGGGGAAGGAAGAGAGAGAGATGCATATGAGAATTCCCTTTGTAGTGCCGCTTCAGATTGTGGCAGCTTTGGCACATGACAGTAAGTTTCATGAAAATGTTAGTCTTGTTATTTTTGAGACTCGGGGTGGTGATGTGCGTGTTAGTTTGGATGCCAAGATAATATCTGATGATCTGAAGTGAATCGGTGCCTTACTGCTTGCACGTGTTTAACTTGACATTGAGCTTGATACCTCTGTGCTAGAAAGTAGAGGGGAGGAAAGAAATGTAGTAGTGTAGGGATATACGTGTGCGTGTGCCATATGTATGCACAGACACACATAAAGCACGTAATATGCAAGAGTGGTTAGTATGTCCCAAGTTGTTAATGGGATAGAAAACATTTGATGTGCTGCAAACTTTGTAAATGTTAACTAAGGCATTTTCATTGCTCTATTTCGATGCTGTGCTTACCTGATTCAGAACTAAAATAATGCCCTGCTTAGGGGCGCAGTCTGTCGGAGTATTTGAGGATGAGCAGTGTTTCCTGGGGGCGGACAGCGATGGATCTCATGGGATGGCTGCACTGAATGAAGACGGATGAAATTCTGGCATTCATCTAATCATGTCAGTACAGATGTGGTGCAGTAAGGGCCAGCACAGGTCACAATTCTTGTCTGCTGTCAACCCTCAGCATGTCCAGGTAAATGTAACAGGGTAATTGTAGAAACAACTACTTGCAATTAATGATCTTGATGATTGGAGACTTAGGAACCAGGTGCTGTTTGATACCAATGGCAAAAAATATTTCAGTACATTATTAAGAAATAATCTAACGGGCAAAACTTAAGGATTCATCTCCAAAAAAAAGTATATATTCATATTTGGGAACACTGTGCTTTTAATGTTCCTTTACTGGTGATTTTGTCTGCATTCTTCATGAATTTTGTAGCAGTCTCTGCTACAGGTCTTAGTGGAATCTTGTAGATAATTACTTTTGGATTTTATGAATTCTTCTTGGTGTACATTGAGGTGAAAGACGTGTATGGCCAGAGGAAGAGTAAAGGTTTGGATTTTATAGGTGTTTATATGCACAGAAATATGACTATTGTAATATATAATTAAATAATTATGTAATGTCTATATAAAATATATATGCAGTACATACACTTGTGCAGTGTGTTTCCACTTTAGTACTATACAAAAGAAGTGTTGTGGTAGTCAGTTCTTCTGTTGTGTTCCTCAAATCTTTTTTCCTGTATAACTTTAAAATTATACCAGTCTGTTCAGCAGTTATTTATTTGGTGTGTACTTTTCCCCTGAGAAAATGGACTTGGTCTCAGCCTTATTTGTTCACCGTAGCTATCTCCATTGTAGATTAAATGTCTTGCCATCTCTCCTGTCTTTCATTTTCCTTCTCATGCCAACCGTGGTGATAAAACAGTACCAAAAAGGCTCCAATGCTTCCAACCAGTGGCTTGATTGCTTGTGTCATGTGTCTCTAGTCCCATCTCAAGGGAGAAGTTTATCAATGGTGTTACAAATAAATAAGGTAGTGTCCTGTTTTAGGAAGAAAGTGTGTTGCATTTTAAACCCTTGGGTAGGACAGAAGGAGGCTGCCTTCTTGGGTCAGTGATGAGTGTTGGCATGTATTATCTGATCTAAAGTTGATGCCTATCACCACTTTAGCTCTAGAATTACTCTGAGACCCAGGAAGCTCCAGTTCCTTTTGGCTGCAACCGTGGAGCTTTTCCAAACTGTGGAATCAAATTCCTGTCACAAATTCTAACCCAGTGTAAGGAGAAGGGGGCACAGTTTGAGTTTTCTTCCATTTACGTGAGAGAGAGTTATAGTTCTTGGGTTGATACCGGCTGTTACTAGGAGATGCTTTCACGTTAACTGAACGCAGCTCTGGATACCCAAAGCTGAACAGTGTTAGCAAATGCCGATGTAGAGATCTGGTGGCAAACTTAACCTGCCTGTCTCAAGGAGCATGCATGTTCTTGATTCACAAACACTGTTTAGTCCCACCTGCGCATCCAGAATGCTTGAAGGGTCAGGTCACATCTTCCTTTGATTGCAATGAGCAGTCAGGTGTTCAGATTTGCTTTTTAAGGAGAAAAAGCAATGATGAGATATTTTGTTGGGGTTGTACATTCCTCTTTGTGTTTGCAGTTGGTATTTCCTGGAAGGTTAGATTTGTTATGCATATTCACATACTCTTTAAAATGCTGTAAATGGCAGCTACTTTGCACAGCAGTTAAAATCTTGTGGGACTATTACATGTACCTTGCCATGTTCTTGGATAAGCATATCCCTATTGGTGTGTGTCCTTTTGTTTCTGTTGGTTGTTTGGGTTTTTTTCTTGGGGGGGAGGGGGGTGTTCTTATCAGGGGAAGATGATTATGAGTAGGCTTCAGTTGATACTGTGGTTTCCTGCAATTTGTACTTTCCTAGTGACTGCCTTGAAATGTGGCCTGAAACACTGCAAACATTTCCCAGGGGAAATAGAGGCATTTGTCAATGCCTATGTATTACCTGACACATTGTAAATAAGCCTGGTGGTAGATGTACGTGGGATTGCCAGGAACATTAATGATCAGGGTTAATCTGTCCATTTGGTCTGTAGCTTGCCCTCCGTAAGCCTTAGGGTAAGAGAATATACAGGGTCAAACCACAGGCTGGATGCAGAATTGTCCTAAAGGCAGTTTGAGTACTCTGTGGGCTTTGTTTAAAGAAGACAGTAGTGCTCTGCCTGATCTTCTAGGATCTTTTTCCAAACTTTGTACTAGTGTAATAGTTAAACATTACTATTCTGTAATTACCTTGTGTAACTGGAACTTTTATACAAAAGCAACATTAATGGAAAAGTAAAACTCATTTGAAACTAGAAGGTGAGATGCGTGCTTATTTTACATCATGCGTGCAGGACTGGATTCCTGCTTTGAAACCTTCCTGCATTTACTCTGCTAAACTATACTTAGTTTTTCAATACAAGCTTATTTCTGTAATTTTGGATCTGTTGTGTCACAGGATTACTGGCTATAACAGACCAGTTGCGTCAAATGTTGACTTTCTGGGTTGGTGGCTTTGTGAAGACCAAGTACCTTCTGGAGGACTCAACAGGTGACCAGAGAAGGCATTAGATGGTTGCTTTTGTTCAGAGCTCACTAGAGATTATTTTTTCCAAATTTGAAGAATCTGTGGAAAATGTCAAGACTCTTATGAAATGCTTTGTAAACTAGCTTTTGCTTTGATTCTTCATTTTGTCACTAATGCTTGTCACCCAGTCTTTAGCTACTCTTTGTTTGAGGCCTCACTTTAGGAAAGTATATGTACTGAAGTATGTCTTGCTGACCACTTGAACCAGTAGCCTGTTAAATCAGGGCCTGAATATTTTTGTCTATGGGAATTAGCTCTTTAGGATTCGTATAAAAATTACTGTTTTACTGGATGTTAATCCCAGGTATAAGTGTTTCATGTCACAGTAGGAAATTGTATAACCTGGAATAAACTCCTCTGACAAATGGATAATCAATCAACAGATTCTTTTTTTCCCCCAAAAAAATTGAAAAATTACTTATGAAAAAGGTGCTGTGGATTTTTAGCCTCTCACATAGAAGGTGAAGGCTGTTTCAAAATTACATTCTTGCATTTTTGTTTCTTGAAGAGGGAAGAGGTCCTCTAAAAAGACTGCATCCACAAACTTTCTTTTCTTTTACCACGAAGAAATTCTTTAAGTGTTGTTTCTCTTGCAACAGTATTACAGTAGCACAGCTAGCAGTTTGCAGGATCACCAATATGATTTACAAGGTCATGTTTAAACCAAAATCAGATAATGTTCTGCTTCTCTGTTTGCCAGTTACCTGATGTATATTACTCATGGTAGGTGCTAGCATCTCTGGAGGTGATTGGCAGGTTACATTGGATTGACAGAGAGAAACTGTGCTGCTGTATTGTGGCTTGATGGGGAGACTGGAGGATTTGCTGACAGACCAGGAGACATAGTAAATAACTAAAAGTTTCCTTAATGGAAATCTTCAGCTGAAAAAGTGTTTTTTCCCATCTGAGTGTAACTTGTGACCCAGATTTAAGTGTTTTGCAGAGCTGCAGTTTAATTAGAGGGAAAGAACAGGGTAGAGTTGCTTTAGAAGGCTTACTTGGGGAGCTTGTAATATTTTACATTGCACTTGCACTGCGACATCCCACACTGTAGTCAGTTGCTGTTCCTTACATAATTCTGGTTCCTGAAACACATACCATGCAAATTGTTTCTCATGAGACCACTTAGAAGATTTCTGTAAAAATACTATTTTAAAAAAAAGCAACAATTTGTAAGCTTCTAGATACCACTGTGGGTTAATTACTCTTCAACTCTTGGTGCTTTTGCCTGATCTAAATGAGTTAGAAATTACTATCAAGAATCTCTACACCCCAATGTCTGTTCTGTGCCAGCCAGCCCACCCACTGAATAAATCCTCACATTTGCCTAGATGAAGGAGGAAGATGATTTTGAGGTAACATTACAAGGCTGGGGGCATGGATTTTCCCTGTGGTTGAGAGCATGTTACGGTTTATTTAGCTGGTCTGTTCTAATTTCAAATGGGAATAACTGAGATTGTCCAAATAAAGAAGTAAATTAAGATCATGTCATTCAAGGGCACTGGTCAGATAAAATTAAAAGTGTTACGAGACCTCAGTGCAACTCCTATAGAACACTTGGCTGCTGATTTGTCAAAGGTCAGGGGGAAATTGTAGCTATTTTATTACATCTGTCTATGTCTCTTCCTTTCTCCACAAATGTGTTAACTGATGTAGCTTTCTGTTTCTTTGTAAGCTGATAAATTCTTTGCACTGGTGGGGTAGGGGATGTCTTTATTCTGCTCTGTTACTTGGAAAGTGTTTTGGGGGTGTTAAAATGGACAGTTTTTTTTAATTTCTGAGGAGCTCACAGGAAGACCTTTTTCTCTTCAGAATGCCCCAAGAAAAGCTTAACATTTAAAGTCCTAATGCTTTTCTGGTCTTGGGATTAAACTTGAGCTATTTCTGTCTTGCTAGAAGACCAAGTTTGCAGAGTTCTATACCTAATGCAGGCACCTTTGGTGGTTTTTGCATGTTATATTAGCAGTCATTTCGTATTATTTTTACCTATCATATCTATTGTGGAAGTGGGCACAGCTGTGGAAGCATTGGTGCTTACAGGTCTTTGCTTTATTCCTGCAGAAACTCATTCCTAACAGATCCTGTTAGTTTTTTTTAAATTAGTTTGACTGTAGTCTTTTGATTTGACACTGTGACTGTATTTCAGGTTTTGAACCACTTGACTATAAAGATTTCTCTGTCTTTTTCTTAAGTTATCAAGAACTAGTTGCTTGGAACCTAATATTGTAGTTGTTCTTATTAGCAGGTTTTTCCTTTCGTATTTGCTTTTAAAGAAGAATTGCAGAAAGGAGCAGAGGATGACATGGCAATAGATACATCTTCCAGGCATTCAGGCTTCCCTGAAAATACATACTGTTCATCAAGAGGCTGAGTCTGCAGCGAGTAACTGCATTTGCACACTTGCCAGTGGGGAACATTCCCCTTTCTGGGCATGCCCATTTATAGAAGGAAAGTTTGTCTTGTTGTTCCTAAAGTGTACTGGTTTTTCAATTATTATTTTGTTATTTACTTAACTTATTTTACCCCTCCTCTAATGGCCATGTATTGGTTCTGAGAAGGAGCAAGTAAACATATACATCTGTGTTCTTTGACCATACCTGTAATGTGTTTGCCAAACCACTGAGGAGCAGGATTTGGTACCCTAGTGTAGTTTTATCCTTCTAGGCTGTCTGTGATCGACAGTTGGGGCTCCTATGTGTGGTTATAACATGATAATTCCCCTCAGTTTGCTGCAATATACAACCTTTGTGATAAGATCCAGAAGTTCTACTTATACAAACATGATGTACCCTGCACCAGACCCCGTGGGTAATTTTGGATAGGATTTTGTAGAATGACTAACTCCACTGACAGGATGCTTATGTCGTGAGACCTTAAATAGCTTCTTGCAGTTGTGTGATGATAGGTGCTTCTGGGGAAAGTTCATGCAGTGAAGGAATACTTGGATACCAAATAACTGTTGCTGCCTCTTTTGGGTTTTTTTCTTGTATTTTTTTCCTTTCAGTTTTATAGCACAGTAGGTTGCTGCTCCCCTCTTAAGATTTTTACAGCAAAGCTCTGTATTCAGAGACTGTTAAAGAGCATTATACTGTTGCTGAAGAGCAAATGGGGAATTTATGGAACAGGCACATGGAGGTGATTAAATTTACCTTTTCAGTCTGTTATGTTTGCTTCTGCTGTCTGATGCCATTACATGTTATTGGGGACACATGAGTGCTTCCTGCTGAATGCAGAGTTGAAAATTGTCTTAGCAGCAAATGATCTACAAGCATCTTTGAGTAAATCATAGTGCTGTAAATGCATGCCAAGGAAATTGCTCTGATATGTGTTGACGGGCAAGACAAATCAAAGCTTATTCAGTTGCAGCATCATCTTCAGCCATGGAGGTTTGCAGTTCTCTTGCTAACAAACAAAAGCTTCATCCCATACAAATGAAAGCTGGATGGCTTTTGGAGATGAACACAAACTTTCTTTCTTCTCCCAGGTAGTTCCATTTCACACATTATTTGGAATTGCTGGACTGTCTTTATTAGGAGAAGAACAAATGAAGGCTGTCAATCCTGTCTTTTGTTATGCCAGAAGATGTCCTTCAAGAATAAATGTACAGCCTGACCTGTCTCATAGAGAGAAAAGGTTGATATGCTGGGTTGTTTTGGTTTTACTGCTAGAAAGTCATCTCTGAAACCATTAGCATATTCTTCTTTGAAATGTGTTTACATTACTATAGTAAAGCAGTAGCTTTACCATGGGCTTTGTCACCTTGTAAATTGTATAGAATTGTATAGAATAAATTGTTCTAATAATCTGAGTGTAACATGCTCTTTGGTTGTATGTAAGAGGTGTAGAAACCTTTCTAATCTGTATCTAAATGAATGGGTCTTTAGATTTTTTTCTGAATATTCAAGTCAAATCTTAGACAAGATTTCACTGATATTTTGAATAAAGCATACCTTGGGTCTGTATATATCATGAAACTTGCTACCATTAAGCACTCTGGAGAAAGTCTCTACAGGATGGTGACTTGTTACCGTGTTGATCCTATATGAAATCCTGCTGTCATAGCTTTTAAGACAAAGCTAATTATATGTAATAAAGTGTTGGCAATTAAGAATAAAACTAGCTGTGGAAAACACTTGTTTTCTGAAGGATGAAGTCCTCTCTGTCTTCACAGAAGCCCTAAAATTGCCTCTTACTTTGCATCTCACACGCCTTGGTTGAGACTGGGTGGTATTCCAGTTCAAATATACACTAAATGATAATTGCAAAGGGGAAGAAGTCTTTAATAATCTCTATACTTATGCCTAAAGAAGGTCTAAAGTTGTTTCAAACACAGTTTTAAAAGCTGGCAGGTTAGTTTTGTCCAACCTATTCATGTTAGCGGTGAGTAAGATAGACCTGGGCATAATACATTTTGGTAGATCTCTTCTTATAGGGAATTTCAAAGAGAGAATGTGTATTTAAATGCTCAAATATCTCTAACCATTTTTTTAAGCTTTTATTTCTCTAAAGGCTTTTAGATGCTCAAATATCTCTAACCATTTTTTTAAGCTTTTATTTCTCTAAAGGCTTTTAGATGAGGTCAAACAATGACCCAGCTGTCCAGTTGCCTGAAGAGTTCTTGAATTAATTTCTTTTTTAAGGCTAAAAAAAAAATGTTATAGTAGGCTTTGTGTGCAAGGGAATGAGCACTGGTCAGGTGTTCTTTATGGATAAAGTCTAAGAGAAACTTTTAATTTTTTTTTCTAATTCCAGGTTACCTTTCCAAGTGCTGCTACTTTTCGTCAAAGGAATCGCACTCAGTGATTTGCCATATTTTTTCCGTGTTGTGTAGACATAAAAAAAAAAACCCAATCTCTTCAGAATCTCTGGTCTAGTGTAAACTGAGGCACCCTGGAAATTACTATGTGGGTGATACTGCATGACAATGTAGACCATGGTAGGGTGAAATCCTATTAATATTGGAGTTTTTCTCTGGAGGGGGTCTGGTTAACTTCATTTCTGAAGTCAGCTGTGATTTTTAAAGGTCTCCTTATAATATTTATGGGTTAAAGGAGAGGAAGTATGTGTACAAACTAAAAACTTACGAATATTCATACTTTTTTTCATCAGATTTTTTAAGAATACTGTATTTGTAAAGGGTCATCACAATTTCTTAAGCAAACAAAATCACATTTTTTTTCAATGTACTGTGAAAGAAGTTAGTTGCCTGATGTGTGTGTTAAAAGACTTGTGTCATTGTGGTGCAGAATACATTGCTATTGTCTACCTCTATTTTGTTAAATGTATTTCTTGATAAGATATTTCTGAGCTTACATATTTAGAAACATTGCAGTAATTAATCTGCTGTTCTCAGTCTTCAGTTATGGTTCCTTTACTAAAGGCTTTCAGAAATTTGCACTTCTGTAACTTCTGTAACCTTTTTCCCCCCATGCAAATCTTTCCATGGAAAGATCCTGACATTACCTCAGTACTTGGTCTTCAGGCACTGAACTGCAGCTGCCCATCCCAGCAATACATTTTGCAAGGTCCTGTATGCGAATTTGCAAAAGAATAATCAATAATTCAAGAACATGAAATTGTATAGCTGTAGATATGTTTGTTAAAAGAAAATCTGGGGGAAAAAAATCACCCATTCTGTTATGTTCTAAGGACATGCTCGAGTCCAGAGGTATGTGTTTTATTCCAAAGATGCTGCTTTGCAGTTATGTTGAGACAGCCTGGTTGGTAAAGTCAGACTTACGATTTGTGACCATAAGAAAGGAAGGAGGAGGGGGAAGGGATGTCCCTTTTGCTTCTGCTTTTCTTGCCATACATTTGTAGTACTCGAAATTCAGGGCAGGGGCAGGGGATCGGCACCTGCTGTCTTCCATTCTTTGCTCTGCGGTGACACTGGAGTTCCTGATGCTTGAATTTTTAAAGCTGTGTCTGACTGATGATGCTCAGTATAGCAATAGTACGTGCCTCTTTGCTCCCGGCCTCCTGGTTTCCATGTTGTTCAGGTGTCTGCTGAGGAGCTGCAACTGATTGCAGTCCCTGTAGGACTTCTGTTGTGAAGCTGAGTAGCTGTTGAACGACAACTGTCCAGAAAATAATGTGTCCTCGTAAAGGCTGGCTTCAGCTTGGAGTGGCTTTTAATGCAGGGCTGTTGAGTTCAAGAGGCAAAAGGTTGTCTAGTTGAAATGTTTTGTTTCTTAATTGAAAGAGTTTTAGTGGTGTTAATACATGCTAATATACAAAGCAGTGCTACAGTGTGCTCTAAAACACGCATAGAAGCATATTGTGGTGGGTTGACCTTTGCTGGCTGCCAGATGCCCTCCAAGCCCCTCTCTTGCTCCCCCTCCATCCAACAGGACAGGCAGATCACTTAAAATTACCATCATGGGCAGAACAGACTCAATGGGGGGAGGGGATTAATTTAATTTATTGCAATTAATTTTAACAGTAGGATAGTGAGAAAGAAGAACAAATCTTAAAACGCCTTCCCCCCACCCCTCCCTTCTTCCCAGGCTCAACTTCACGTGTGACTCTTCTACTTCCCTGCCGCGAGCAGTGCAGCGGGATGGGGAATGGGGCTTGCGGTCAGTTTATTACACATTGTCTCTGCTGCTCCTTCCTCCTCACACTCTTCCCCTGCTCCAGCATGGGGTCCCTCCCATGGGAGACAGTCCTCCATGAACTTCTCCAATGTGGGTCCTTCCCACAGGGTGCAGTCCTTCAGGAACAGACTGCTCCAGCGTGGGTCCCCCATGGGGTCACAAGTCCTGCCAGCAAGCCTGCTCCAGCGTAGGCTTTCGACAGGGTCACAGCCTCCTTTGGGCGCATCCACCTGCTCTGGTGTGGGGTCCTCCACAGGCTCCAGGCTCCACCGTGGACCTTGCACTGCAGAGCGGCTTACGTTGGGACACTGGGTTTGTAGGGGTGGAAGCCTTCATGATATGGGGACAGGGGCTACTGCGTAAACATGCCTCGTCAACACACATGGTAATTCACTGAGTCCAGGAGCAGTGGCCCATTTCCTATTCACATTTAATGTACAATTCAAACTGGCTGCGCAACAGGGACCTACTAAGCCCCTTAGAGGGCAGCTGGCGGCAGTACCACCAAGCCTGCTCCAGGAGCGCGTCCCCGGGGGTGGAAGGAACAGCTGAGAAGGGCTATGCAAGGAGAGAGGCTGGAAGTTATACCTGGAATTGCAGGGGGTATGTCAGCTTGTGTGATAAAAGCTTGCCTGCACACCTGCAATGGAACATGACAGGCGGAGGAGGGGGGGGCCCCCCCCCCCCCCCCCCCAAAATACCCTGCAGCAGCTTCTCCATGTCCCACCACAGGACTCATTGGCCCACTGGTCTTCACAAGCCCAGAGGAGGGCAGGGGCACAGCAGCAGGCAGGAACCCAAATTACAGACTCAAAGCCTGGGCTTTTTACAGCCCGCCTGGGCTCCTGCCAGGGCTGTCCTGGGAAAAGCCTCAGCCCCGCAGTACAGGTATGAAACCTATCATGATGAGTAAGTGCCAGCGCACCCATGGGACACCTCAGGGGGTGCTGGGGGTGGATGTCTCAGCATCTCGCAAGATGTTTTGGGGAGGAACCAAATGGAAGGATCCAGAGGATTCGGGGAGGAACAAGTAGGGGAAAATAGAGGGATAAAAAGGGTCCATCACGTGAAACTAGCTTGCTGGTTGGTCACACGATGTCTTAGGCGTGACCAGCGCAGTCCGTCCTGCCTGCTTATTGAACCCCTTCCTAACGAGCACAGCACTTGGAGCCAGCCCACGGTTCATGGGGCGTCTGTGGGGCAGTGACTGGGGAGACCAGAGTTGGGGAAGCCACGTGGGAGAGGGGCCAGAGGCTCCTGTGGGCTGCTGGGTCTGGCTTGACGCTCCCCTGGCAGCCCCCACCCAAGTACCGGATAGGCCAGAGGGAAGCATGCAAGGCCAGGTATTACGAGGTCACTTCTGCCTCATTGCATGATATGGGGGTCACTGCCTCTGTGAAATCGCAGGGCTCCCCCCTACTGACCTAGCCCTGACCTCACCGTCCCCTGGTCCTCTGGGCTACAGCACCACAGCCCCTGGCGTCACTGTGACATCGTTTGTCCCGGTACCCAACTGCTGATGACCTCACAGTTCCCGACACCCCCGGGGCTATGATGGTATTGCCCCTGCTGCCCTCATCACTGACATCACAGCCCCCAGTACCCCGCCCCATGAGCACTGGGGAGTTAACAATTATGCAGCCACAATTACAAGTGCTGCCACCTCTGACATCACTGCCCCAGGCCCTGCATCACTATGACATCACACCATCATGCAGACACCACCATTGCCACCTGCTCACTTTATTGGGCTGGTTCCAGCTGCTCTTGACGCTGGGGTCCGGGAAGGGAGGGGAGCCTGGACACCTGGGTCCTCAGAGGGTGGGGCCTTGGGGGGTGGAGCCTTCTGGGGGAGGGGCCAGCCCCAGCAGCCCCCGGGCAGTGGCAAAGAGGTTGAGGGGGGCGGTGCCATCGGTGATGAGGGTGGACTGCAGCCCCAGGCCCTGCAGCAGCTTCACCTGGGGGCGGTCACAATGCTGGCCACTCCTCCTGGCAGGCTATGCCCCCCAGCAAACCCCACCCCAACACCCCCTGCACCCTCGAGCCACACCCCTGCCAAGACGCTCCAA